ACAAATGAATGGATAGAAAAACTATGGTATAATCACACAATAGTACACAACACTGAAAAACAAGGAACTAATAAAATATTACACAACATGGATGATCCTGGAGGACATTATGCTGGGTGAAATATCTCCATCACAAAAGGACAAATACTGCATAACAACACTGTTATAAAACAGGCCTGACGGGGTTGGTGGAAAACTAACAAAAGGGGGGATTACTGAAGAGAGATGGTATCTCATTGTGGTTTTGATTTGCATCTCTCTTACGGCTAGTGATTTGGAACATTTCTTCATGTGTCTGCTGGCCATTCAAATATCTTCCTCTGTGAAAATTCTTTCCAAGTCTTTTGCCCGTTTTGTAATTGGGTTATCAGTCTTTTTCTTGTGGAGGCCCAAGAGTATCTTGTCAACATTTGTTATGAGACTTTTGTCTGAGATGGTATTACCAAATGTTTGTTCCCAGTCAGTAGGTTCTCTTTTCACCTATTTGGAAAAGTTTTTGATGAGCACAGGGATTTAATCTTAGAAGGTTCCATTCATCAATTTTATCCTCTTCAGATTGGCTTCTCTTTATACGGTAGACTAAGGCTTTCTAAGCTTGATCCTAGTTTGTCTCTTATGAACTTTTTTGTTTGGGGCTTTACTCCCAGGTCTCTGATCCACCTTGAGTTAATTTTTGTGTATGGGTGATACATGGTCTTGTTTCAACTTTCTGAAGGCGGGAGTCCAGTTTTTCCAGCACTATTTGTTGAAGAGATTGTCATTTTCCCATCTCACTCCAGTAACAGTGGCAAAGTTTAACAGGACAGCAAGTAATAAATGTTGGAGAGGATGTGGCGAGAAAGGAACTCTTATACACTGTTGGTGGGATTGTAAAATGGTACAACCACTCTGGAAGGCAGTTTGGTGCTTCCTCAAAAAGCCGAACACAGAAATTCCATAAGACCCAGCAATTCTACTGCTTGGAATATATACCCTTAGAAAATGAGAACTGAGCCTCAAACTGAGACTTGTACACCAATGTTCATAGCAGCATTATTCACCATCAAAAGAACATGGAAACAGCCCAGATGTCCAAGCACAATAAAATAGATTGAGAAATTATAGTACATTCATACAATGGAATACTATGCAGCATGCAGGTGCAATGACTTTTGGAAATTACTATGTAATTTAGGAGGGACTGGAAAGCCTTATGCTGAGTGAACTAACTTAGTCCCACAAGGGCAAATACTGTATAAAACCATTATTGTAAAATGAGTATAAAGATCCAAGGGGGACGGGAGGGTGGAAGCAGAGGGATGAGGATGTGCAGGGGGCAGGGGTTTAATCATGGAGTTGTACAATTTGATGGGGGGTGAGGGAAATTGGAAGAATCTGATTTGAAAAATGTATTCAAATTTTGTAAATAATCTAGTATAAAGAAATTTTTTTAAGTTGAAAATACAATTAAAAAAGAAAAGGGGATAAATAATAGTGCATTGGAGGAAAGAAAGAACTATTCATAAGGAATATATGATTAGGCATTGTAAGTTACGACAACAGAATAAGAAGAACATTGCAAGGAGTTCTAGGGGGAGAGAAGGGAAGGAGGTAATTGTATAACAATGAAAGAATATTTTTTTTAAAGTGATGAACTGAGGGAGAGGGAAGGGAGGGAGGAGAGGTAAAATGTGCAACAATGAACAAATGAAAATCTAACTTTTACATATACTTTTGTTAAAATCACAATTAAAATTAAAAATTTTATAATAAAAATACTCTCCGCATTTTACAGACAAGAAATTGACTTGATGATTAAATAATGCCCCCACAAATCGAACAACTAGTGAGTGAGCCACCCAATTCTTTCCTTACTCTAAAACACATGCTCTTTTCACTAGACTATTAAGTTGTGCATTGTGCTTAATAATAGAACTAAAGGTAACAGACCAATACGGTCTACTTTCAGTAAAGAAAATGATGTTACTCTAAAGGAAAGCATTACTCTAAAAGGTGAAATCTTTCTTTTTATCCCAATTTGTTCAACCAGTTTAGGCCCTAGGGCTTAAAAAAAGCTATGTGCACTGGAAACCAGAAAATGCCTGCCATTCAGCAAGTCAGTACCCACAATTCTGGTCACAATATCCTTCAAAAAAAAGGTGCAGGGGAAAAGCAGATTTAAACTCCCTTCCCCACCTCTCATCCTCTGAGGGTAGTTCATTCTTAGGTAACCCAGAATTGCCATTCAGTCAATTGTTTCACAGAGCACGGGTATCATAGAGAAGAACTGCTCCCAGGATTTCCAAGACTGTAAATCTTAACAGAAATTGACTGCCTCACCTTTTTTCCCCTGAAGCAATGGGTGGATTTGAATTGCACTGTTTTCATTAATAGCTGAATTCTTTAACCATTATGTCACCAGGGCTCCTTAGAAGGTAGTTCTTTCTTGTGCCTACAGGTAACCAGACCATAAATTACTGGAGGGAATTGTTTTCTTTCTCTTTATTTCCTCCTAGTCATGTTCCACCAAAAGGGACTAACTAATGAATTTATTAAACTGTTACTCTAGTGACATTTCATCTATAATAACTAATTAGCACGGAATGGATTTGGATTCGGATTCTTGGTGATCCTATGTGTTTCAGAGTAGGCTCTGCTCCACTGGGCTTTTCTCCTAGAACAAAATCTCTTGGATAGATTTGAACATTCACCTTTTGGTTAATAGCAATTGAGCCATCCAGGGACCCCCTTCAGCTATAATAGCTCTCTTAATTATCTACGCAGATCAAAGTCTTTGTACAGTAAAACCATGCTGGGGACCGCAAGTCTAAGATTTTACTTTTACATCACAAGCCAATTTACATTACAAGACAATTTGAACCTCCTCCCAAGCAATTAACTGCTTCTGAAAACCTGCTGAAGGGTCAGGTATGAATGGTTCCAACTTCACTGCACACAATTATTTGTTTCTGATGTAGATTTATGCAGCCAACAACAATACATTGATAGCCACTCCTCAGCAGATATTAAGCTAAATTGGGTATAAATGTTGAACTAAATCAGGACTTTCTCAAATAACTCACAAATGTTCTGTACTGCACAGTCAACAAACAAGCCATTGAGAAACAGACTATAAGAATAAAATATACTTTCTAATGGATCTTTTGTAAACTAAAATGACTTTTTAGTGTGTTGGAAAGGCTTTTAAGTATTAAATCACAATGACAGTTTTTATTGTGGAGGAAGATCTCTTTACTGATCGTTCTATTTAAAACTCCTTAACTCTGCAGCCCATTTCTTGCAAATTGGCAGCTTTTAGCATTTTTGCTTGGCTCCACAATCAACACTCTTGTTATCAGGAGCTAGAAAATCAAGGGATGAATTGTATTGGGAAAGCACGCTGACAGGGACCTCTCCAGAGCACTGAAGAGCAATGATGTCAGTCTGGTGACCAAGGTGCACCTTGCCTTTGAATTGTGGTGCTAGAAAAGAGTAATGAATATACAGCATGGACTGCCAGGAGAACAAACAGGTGGGTCCAGGAAAGGATGGTGGGTCCAGGAAAGGATGGAACCAGGCTGCTCCTTGGAGGCAAGGATTCTGAAGCTTCGTCTTTGGGCATAGTGCAAGGAGGGACTAGTTGTTGAAGAGGGACATCATGCTTCCAGGTGGAGGGACAGCACAAGAGAAGACCCTCGATGAGACAGATTGATTCAGTGATGAGAGTAACGAGGTTAGAGGCAATAAGGTTGGCACACGGTAAGTCAGGTTCAGGGATATTGTACATAGTTGCTATGAGTCGCAAGCAACTCAACGGCACATAACTACAACAACAGGGGTGGTCAACAACATTGGATTGCCAACCCAAAGGCAAGGAGTTCAAATCCATTTGCTTCTCCTGTAGAGTTACAGTCTCTGAAAACCTGCTAGAGGGTCAGTTATGAGTCAGTTCTGACTCAAAAGCAATGTTTAGAATATGTGTATTTTAAAAAGCTGAAGGTGACATGTCTTTCAGAAGCCTGATCTTCCCAGGTCTACAGAACTCAAAAGATTGCTTTCTCCTAATTCTTGGCACCGCTATTTACTCACAACCCCCTTTTTCCTCTCCCCATTCCCTTCTCTTCCTTCTATCCAATTTATCAAGTATAAAAAAGGAGCAAGAAGCTGCACTGCAATCCCAGAGGCACACGGTTCAAATCCACCAGATGCTCTGCTGGGAAAGGAGGGACAGTCTCCTCCTGTACCAGTCAGATCCGATTTGACGGTACACACACACACACACGCACACACACACACACACACACACACACACACACAATTAAAAAAAAAGGGGCGCAAACACGGGGAAGACACGCGGTCTGTGTTTATGGTTGGCTGTCATTAAATTGCGGGTCTCCAGTTACCGAGGAGACCAACGTGAAGCAACTCAGATGTGGCTGCTTATCTCTCAATAAACCATGCTGTGGGTTGCATGGTGTTGCGCGGATCTGGAGCGGCTGGCAAATTTGCTGTTAGAAATGATGTAGGGAGAATAAGAAAGATCTAGAAGAATCTTGTTCAACCAGGAAACGGGCTAGGTAGTCCCAGGACTCTTCCTGGGAGGAAAGAGGTGCTCCCGACTCCGAGGGTTAGGGGGCCAGGAAGACTAGGCAGCTAACTGGCGGGACGGACCAGGAAAAAAAATCACAAGGGCCAAGGGAAAAAAATCGTAACAACAAAATCATAAAAGCGTCCTCGGCACCAAGAGCCTGAACCGGCTAAGCCGCCTGCGTCTCTAGAAAGTTCTCCACCCCCACCCGCTCTGTCCCTCACTCCAGCTCCAGCTCCTCCCAGCCCCTCCCTCCGGCCGCGGGGTGGGACCAATCGCTCCCCCTGTCCGCTCATTACCCACCTACTCCCGCTCCCGCGCCCGACTCTGTCGCGGGGAGCGGAGCGCGCCGGTAGGCAGAGGTGCTCTCTTTTTCCACTGCCTCGCTGCTCGGCGACTGCAGCGCCCGCGCACCCGCGCGCGCACAGACCCGGCGGCGTAGAGGGCTTGACTCGCGCCCGGTGCCGGGCTTCCGAAGTAAACGGCGCACCGAGCGGCGATGACGGCGGAGGAGATGAAGACGGGGGAGACTGGGGCGCAGTCGGCGCCGCTGCCCCTGGACGGAGTGGACATCAGCCCCAAGCAGGATGAAGGCGTGCTGAAGGTAAAGGGCCGGGAGTGAGTGCACCAGTGGAGAAAGAGGGGACACCGGGCAGTCAGAGGGCCCCTGGCAAGCCTGAGCTCCCGGCGCCAATCTCAGGCTCCCTCCAAGGCTGGGAACCTTGGGATCCAGGTGTGGGTCGGGAACGGCCGCCTTTGCAAGCCTTAGGCTCTTCACCGTTGGTTGTGCAGCCAGTGACCCCTTGCATCGCCTTCCTGGACTGGGTTCCGCTGGTGGCAAGGGCAGCCACATGCTCTGGAGAAGATGGCCTAGGTGCGCAGGCCTGGACATTGCCAATATCCTGGACCCTCTGGAAACCTCTTGTCGAGCCTGAGGCCCCTGGGTGCCTCCAGCCTTGCCCGGGAGGGACCGCGGCTGCAAAGCCAACTCCGGCGTGCACGGTGCAGCGGAGGGGCGGGGCGGGCGCGGTGCACGCGAGTTGCAGCTAGGGGGCCCTGGGCGGCGTGCTACGAGGGCCGGGCCTGTGCTGAGACCGTCCCCCATCACCTCTCCCCGACCCCGGGCCGGGGCCAAGTTGCCAGCGTTTTTCCCTGCCAGCCGAAACCGGAAAGTCTGTCCCTGGGCCACCTTCATCGGTGGCGGTGCTAGAACTCTCTTACCCTCTGGCAGTTAAATATTAGCTAAGACGTGAGACAGTGGAGAAGCCTAATTTTATGACCCAGAGGCCTTTATGGAACCTGGCGCGCAGTCCTGGCCATGAAGACGGTTCTGGCGCCCTCTGCTCTCATCCTCCCTCCCTTTCAAAGGCTGGGGATCCAGCTAGGTCACCGGCTCAGTCATGCTGATCCTCCTCCCTTAAGCCCCGGGAAAAACGATGGCGTGGTGCATGCTGGGACCTGTAGTTTCCGTCCCACCTCGGGCCGCACTTCCAGAGTTGGGTTATCTGAGTGTGTGGCGGGAGGAGGTGCGTTGCCTTGGAGCATGCTGCCGAGTAACCGTCTGCCTGCTAATAGCGCTAGAGGGAGGGGACCAGAACATTGGGGGCAGGGCATCTTGACCTGGGTCAGGACAACAGGCTGTGGTTCAGGCAGGTTCTATGGGCAGTCTTGGGTAGTGAAATCCTAGCATGGATTTTGTGTCCTTTTCCCACCCCAATGTTTCTCCTCATCCTGGCTTTCCACGTGTATGTGCAAGAGGGAGAGTGAGACCTGGGCAAAGCTAGAGATTTCGGGGAGCCCACCTCACCCAGAGTGTGGAATTTTGTAATGCATCTCAACTTTATCCCAGACACTTAGCATCTCAAACCACTTTTGGGTGATTTCTAAAAGGTTGTTATTCCAAGAAGGGCCATTTCTCCTTTTATTCTCTGCCTTTTCCTTCCTTACACTCACGGTGCATTAGTTAAGACACTTAGCTGTAAACAGAAAGGCCATAGGTTCAAGCTCACCAGCCCTTTCAAGGGAAAAGTGGCAATGTGCTTCCATAAAAATTATTTTGTTGGCTGGGTGGGGAGAGAAGTGCAGCAATGAATGAATGGAAATCCAAATTCTCTGTAAATGTTCATTAAAAGTATTTAAAAAATACAATAAAAAATTACTTTGTTGTTGTTGTTATGTGCCGTCGAGTCGCTTGCGACTCATAGTGTACAACAGCCCTAAACTCTGCTCTGTCCTGTGCCAATCGCACTGTCTCTGACACACCCATCCCGATTATCCCAGTCACTGAATCAATCCACCTCATAGAGGGCCTTCCCCTCCTGCACTGTCCCTCCACCCTACCAAGCATGATGTCCTTCTCCAAGGACCAGTCTCTCCTCACAACATGTCCAAAGTATGTTAGAGCCTCAGAATCCTTGCCTCCAAGGAGCCACCCGGTTTAACCCTTTCCAGGATGAATCTGTTTGTTTCCTAGGAGTTCATGGTACTCTCAATATTCTTCTCCAGCACCACAGCTCAAAGGCATCAATTCTCCTTCTATCCTCTTTGGTCATTGTCCAACTCTCTGATGCATAACGAGTGATTGCGAAGACCATGGCCTGTATCAGACGCACCTTAGTCTCCAGAGAGACACCATTGCTCTTCAGTACTTTATAGCGTTGGAAAACCCTATGGGGCGGCTCAACTCTGTCCTGCACGGTTAAGAGTGTGAATTGGCTGGAGAGCACTGACACTGGTTCTGTCCACTCTACCAGGGAAACTTTCCCACAGAGGAAAGCTACACACCTCACAGGTGCCCCATAGGGTCACCTATTGTAAATTACAAAAGGGAGAAATGGACGCTTTTAAGTTCCCGGAAAATATACTAGCCCTGGGTGGGAGGAAAGAAAAACTTAATTAGATTTAGGTCCAGAATGCTTGTGTCCCCAAGTCAAGATTTAGGACCTGATTTGAGAGCTTCTGTTCATCTGTACTCCAGTATTTCTTTTACCACTTTTGAACTGTTGTGTTTCCTCCTTCACTCATATTCCCCTCAATCTCTTCTTTCTTAACCAAACCCTGATGACCATTGGGATTTAGGAAGAGTAAGAATATATAGCATTACCAGCCTTTGTTGATTATCATTTTATGTTCAACTCTTAACAGTCCAAAGAGATAAAGAGTATCATCTTTGTTTTTACAAATAAGATTTACAGCGTTTGGATGACTTATCCCAAGATCAAACACCTAACAAAAACTTGAACTCACTTCTTTTGCCTCTGGTGTTTCAAGCCAAGTCATACTGCTCAAGAAGGAAGGGTTTAATGGATCCCATGATTTGAATCATTTGAGGATTGAACTTAATTTACAAATAGGCTGGGAGGGTAGAAGCAGAGGTGTCATTTTATGTCCACTGAGAGGTATGAGCAGTTTGAATACTTCATTCTGTGCATCCTTGTCCTCTGTTCTGTACCTTTCTCCCAGGTCATCAAGCGGGAGGGCACAAGTACAGAGATGCCAATGATTGGTGACCGGGTCTTTGTGCACTATACTGGCTGGTTGTTGGATGGCACTAAGTTTGACTCCAGTTTGGACCGCAAAGACAAATTCTCCTTTGACCTAGGAAAAGGTAGGTATGATAGATGTGTTGATAGACTAAAGGTCCAAGGTTGGGTGTAAGTTGTAACATGCAGAAACTATATCCACCAGCTCAAGGCAGAGTGATTTAAAATTTACTATAGGTAATCCCTTGTCTTCTTCTGTTACCTTTTTTTCTTTTTTCTTTCTGTGCACCTCCACTGTTTTGTAACTATATTCACTCCTATCCCTTCCCACATCAGGCAGTCCTGATGGTGCAATGGAAATTAGCAGGTCAAATCTATCCTGGTAGCTCCATAGGAAAAAACCAAACAAACAAAAACAGTTATCTGCCCCTATAAAGCTTACTTAGGAAAAGGCTATGTGTGGTACAGTTCTACATTGCTACCTTGATTGCTGTGACTTGGAGTAGACTTGAGGGCCCCTAACAAAACCTTCCCAAATCACCTCAACCCATCACTCTTCACAGGAGAGGATTGCCTTATTTCTTAAACTTCTTAGTTCCATGGTTGAGTGATTTTCTTTCTTTCTCTTTAAGAGACTTGAAAGACTTATGATCAAGCTCTTGGCTCTCCTGGTCCTGTTTCTGCAGAGTCCCCCACTTCCCCTTAGGCATAGTACAGTAAGTCCCCGTGGGAGTGCACTTAGAGTCATGCTCATGCTTATGCGGACCTTCTGGTCTTTTGTATCTGCAGGGGAGGTCATCAAGGCTTGGGACATTGCTGTAGCAACTATGAAGGTGGGGGAAGTGTGCCACATCACTTGCAAACCAGAATATGCATATGGTTTGGCAGGCAGTCCTCCAAAGATCCCCTCCAATGCCACACTTGTGTTTGAGGTAAGTGTCCAAGAGGAAAGCAAAGAGCCAGACCTTATCTTTACCCAATGCCTGGCTGCCCTCCAGCCCTTCCTGCCTTTTAAGAGACAATGTAGCCAAGGCTGAGGCCTGGCCTTTAGAGAGGAAGAGAAATGGAGAGGGCAGCTGGCTCTCCTATGCCGGTGGCTGCCAGAAAAGTGACCAGTGATGGAGGCTTCAGGGTGGAAGAGGAAAATGGCCACTAACTCCTTTCAGACTCAAAATAGGGAATGGTGTTCGGGTGTATTTACATGCAGAATAGTGTTTGGAGGGGCTGGGTTGTGATTTTAAAAGAAAGGAGCCAGTCGGAATCTATATGCAGATACAAATTGAAGCATTAGCATTCTGCTGATCAGAGGAGGGGAGAAATGGCTCTCCCACAAGTCAGGGTGGTGCATGAAGGCTTACCTGAGGAGATGGGACTTAGTATACTGTTCAGTCTGCCCATAGTTGAGCCAGTCAGCAGGGGCTACTTGGAGAATGTTCAGAAGACTGTTGAGAGATGTCAGGTCAATTTTATTTCTAAGAGCCTGGATTAGGTTGATTGAAACTTGGCCTTGCTAAGTGGAACAGATTGATCTCTTAAGGTTAACTGAAATCCATGGGGTCTGTCAACCTCTAACAAACTTAAAATTATGACACTTCCCAAGAATTTAGCAAAAATGTCACTCTGACCCCTAGTGTAAACTGTCTTTGTGGTCTCACGTAGCCCACTAGTTATTAGGGATTTTTCTGGGTCAAGGAGAGGGGCATATCTCTCATTAGTGAACTAGTGTGGAAAGGAGTTACGTTACCTTTCATTTCCCACAGATAGAGCTGTTTGAGTTCAAGGGAGAGGACCTGACAGAAGATGAAGATGGTGGCATCATCCGCAGAATACGGACTCGGGGTGAAGGCTATGCCAGGCCCAATGAAGGCGCTATCGTGGAAGGTGAGCCAGTGCAGTCTGAAGTTATAAATAGAGGAGTCTGAATCTGGGTGACTTTAGACATTTCTCTTCTCAGAGCCTACTTTCTTTTCAATAAAAGGAAGTTTTGGTTCTTTCTCAGTTGCTATCCCACCAGGTGTTATCTTGGGGCCAGAAGTGATAGGGTGGTTGTCGATGGATTCTTTCTGCCTTTGCCTGGCCTCTCACACACCTTTCTTTTTTGCCAGTCACACTGGAAGGATACTATAAGGACCGGATGTTTGACAAGCGGGATCTCCACTTTGAGATTGGCGAAGGGGAGAGTCTGGATCTACCTTGTGGGTTGGAGAAAACCATTCAGCGCATGGAAAAAGGAGAACATTCCATTGTGTGCCTCAAACCCAGGTGAGAGGGAGATACGTGATAGAGCAGGCCAACCAAGGGCAGAGGTTTAAATGCCCACAGCAGGTTTGTTTTGTTTTGTTTTTCTTTTTCACTGTGCTCACTGCCGCCTATAACTCTCTTTGAGATCTAACCTTTTCCATCTTAGCTGCTGCAAATTCTCTTCTACCAACATTAAAATTTCCATCTCCCATTGATTTATTCAGTCATCAATAAACATGAAATACCATACACCTACTATGTTCCAGGTCCAGTCGTAAGGATTCCTCTGTGTTAAAGTCAAATAAGACATTGTTCCTGCCTTCTAATAATGCATTCATTAGTGAGATGGCATTTAAATGAGTGACCATATCACTGTGTAGAATGATTTATTAGAAGAACATAAAAGTGGTACAAGGCCAACTAATAATTGACTGAGTAGGTCAGGGAAGGAAGATGGTGCTGAGTGGTAAACCCTTGAATCAAATCTCAAGGGAAGGGAGGTACTTTCCAGAAAATGGATAGGAAGCATTTTAAGCCTGGGACAGGTGAGGACTACCTCGATGACCTGATATTTTCCCCCTACACACAGCTATGCTTTTGGCAGTGCTGGAAAGGAAAAGTTCCAAATCCCACCACATGCCGAACTAAAATATGAAATTCACCTCAAGAATTTTGAGAAGGTGAGATTGCTCAAGGTGTTCCCTCTTCTGAAGTCAGGTCCCATGCTGTAGGTGACTCTAGGGTAGCTAACTTTATTTCTCCCCTGGGGTGTGGCAGGCCAAGGAGTCTTGGGAGATGAATTCGGAGGAGAAGCTGGAACAGAGCACCATAGTGAAGGAGCGGGGCACTGTGTACTTCAAGGTGAGCCCACAGCCAGGTGCTGGGGACACGCCAGTGCAATGGGGGCTTCTCTGGGTCCACGCTCCCCCTAAGATGTGAGATTATTTCCTACCAAGGAGCAGACAGGTGGACACCTGTGGTCTTCACCTAGACTGTCTGACCCAGCAGGTCCCTTGTTGCCACGGGTTCTGTCTGATGCATGCCGCTTAGGTACATAAACCTCTCTCTTCTTCTAGGAGGGCAAATACAAGCAAGCTTTGCTACAGTATAAGAAGATTGTGTCCTGGCTCGAATATGAGTCAAGTTTCTCCAGTGAGGAAGCACAAAAGGCACAGGCTCTCCGACTGGCTTCTCATCTCAATCTTGCCATGTGCCACCTGAAACTGCAGGCCTTCTCGGCGGTCATTGAAAGCTGCAACAAGGTGAGGTCCCTCAAGAGGCCGTAAATAAGTGAATGTCTGAAGCCTTTCCGAAGGAACACTGAGATAGAAGCCCAGAGGCAGGGAATGAGAGAAGCAAGGGCTTTGACTTTCGAGATGGGAGGCTGTTGACACTAGCAGGAGAACTACTTAAGGGTTTTTACATCCTGGTTTTTAGTCTCTCCCTCTTACCTACCTGCCTGCCTTAGCTACTGTTGTCATGTCCTGTCAAGTTAGAACCAGCTCATGGTTGACCCTCTAGCAGGTTTTCAGAGGCACAGGATGAGACTGTTCACCTTTCTCCTGCAGAGCAGCTGGTGGGTTTGATCTGTGTGCCTTTGGCCAGCAGAGCTCCCTGACCGTATCTATAGACTCTAGAAATGTTACCTTCAGAGACCTGCTGTCTGCCAGCTAAAAACAACCCTTCTCTGTTTCTTTGAGGGCCTCTCCAAAAAGGCTGCTCTCTTGGTCCTTTCCATTTAATGCCCCAAGACTTGTTCTGTCTAGGATGGAGTTGCCATTCCTACAAGGGGGATGCATTCAGTCTTGACCAAATGGGCCACAGGGCACAATTCTCACTGCTGGTTCCTCTCTGCAATCTCAGGCCTTGGAACTGGACAGCAGTAATGAGAAGGGCCTCTTCCGCCGAGGCGAGGCTCACCTGGCAGTGAATGACTTTGAGCTGGCACGGGCCGACTTCCAGAAAGTCCTGCAGCTCTACCCCAACAACAAGGCCGCCAAGACCCAGCTGGCCATCTGCCAACAGCGGATCCGTAAGCAGCTCGAACGAGAGAAGAAGCTTTATGCCAATATGTTTGAGAGGCTGGCTGAGGAAGACAGCAAGGTATGGTTGGGGTGGGGGAATTGTCAGGGGACAGGCATAAGCAAGGGCAGTGTTGTCTCTGTCCTCTCAGGGGGACTCACATGTATGTCCCCTCTGTAATAATCCCTGTGTAATTGCCACTATGCCAATAGTGTGTTCTGTGATCAGGCCCAACACCCACCGTTGGCGGTTAGGAATTTGCTCTAGTGAACTTCCCTTGCTTAGATCCTCTTGGCCTAGAGCCATAAAAGATACCATAAAAGATGGACATGCTCGTACATGTGGCATTTTTATTAGGTAATGGATTTATGTTGTTGAATTCAAACTGCTCAAAAGCATAGTAAAAAGTCCCACTCGCAACCAGTTGTTTTTAGGTGCCATCAAGTCAAGTGTGACCCATAGCGACAGTATAAACAGATCTGAACCCTGTCCTATCTGGTGCCATCCTCATCATCTCGGCCACACTTAAGCCCATTGCTGCAGTTACAGTGTCAGTCCAAAGGCTGTGGATATTATTGCTTCTTGTGGCCTTTAATTATATCACATATATGGATAAGCAGTCACATCTTCGAGTCTCCCTTTTTGTTCACAGAAAAGGCATCATATATACCTTTAGTTTTTAAGCCATCCCTTTTTTACATAATATTAGGACACTCATTTCACATCATTATAGAAGAATTTTTACTTTAAGCTTTAGATTGAACCAGGCCCTTATTTCTAATCTTTCTGTGTTACTAGCACTACCCAATAGAATTAGAAAGTTTTCTATCATCCATATTAAGAAAGGTTTTTTAAAAATCAGAAGAAATTCTATTTTTCAGTTAACCTAAAGTATCTAGATGATAATTTTGTAACATGTAATTTATAATGCTAAGATTTCTTTTCCTTTTCAGTGCTTGGTAGACACATGTGGTAGTTGCTGCTTTACACTTTTTTATGTTCTAAGTTCAAAGTTTGTACCTGCTTGTAGGTACAGACCACACGTGGTATTAGTGTGCTGGGTGGGTTTAGGAGTGTGCCCATATCAGTGAAGCACGAGTAGGTAAGAGTGCTAACATAACATCACTGAGAGTTGCCTTTTCCTGTTAGAAGGACTAGACCAAGTGAGACGTGGCATTCAGTTCCTCCCTCTTTTCTTCTCGCAGGCTAAGGCTGAAGGAGCTGCAGGAGACCATAATTCTGACACCGAGATGAAGGATGAGCAGAACGTGGCAGGGAGCCAGTCTCAGGTGGAGACAGAAGCATAGCCTCTCCCCAGCCCTGCTACTGCGGCTGCCTGCCTCCCCTGTTCCTTACGCAAATTCCACCCTGTTAGTTTTGTAAAAACTGAAGACTTTTGAGTGAATTAGACCTTTATTTTTCTATCTGGTTGGATAGTGGCTTTGTGGGGGAAAGGGGGAAAGGAGTAGGCTGAGGGGTGGATTGAGGTGGGAATAATTTCTAGGTGGTGTCATTTTCCCCCCTTCCTGATTGCATATAAACATACATTTATCTTTTTACTCACCAGGATGTTAATTTATTTTGCTTCCTCTTTTTGCTAGGTCTATTTTCAAATGGTAAAAGGGGATGAGTGGTAGAGATAGGGTCTGATGTGAACCCAGGGTGGAGAGGGAGAACCTCAGGCAGCCGCTTTCCTCATCCTGTCCCTCTCCTGGTCCATTTCCAAACATGTGGACTCCATGTGGGTGCTGGGTAGATGGGAGAAACCACTTTTGTGCCCATTACTTCGCTTTGTTCCCTTCCTCACCCCAGATGGTGTGGCTGATGCTGTCTCTTGGTGTCATGGTAACCACCCCCTGCACCCCCATCCATTGTTTCCTCTCCTGTCCATTCCTCTTCTCGGCCAGGTTGTATCCCAGCCCCCCTCAGCCTCTTCTCTGCACGTTGCTGAAGGTCCAGGCTCTCCTCAAGTTCCTCGCTTGAGCAATAAAGTGGAAACCATAAAATCTGGATGTCAGGCACCCTTTTCTCCGTGGGTCTGGGTAGGTGGGCTGCTCTGGCTGGGTAGGGAAACAATTTCAGGCAGCAGACCTACCTAGTTACCAGGCCAGCTTAAAAATTCTGATGGCAGAAGCAGTAGTGGGCCAGGAAGCACACTTGTACAGCTGGTACCTGGGCTTCTGGGCCTTGCCATAGGTTCCCTGAACTCCCTGCCCACAGCTGCCTGGCATGTGTTCATAGCTCTGGTTTTCTTCTCCATCACTTAAAAGGCTAGGATCATGTGTTTGTTTGACGTTGTATTTGTTTCTGCCTAACTGATCCAAGAAAGGCATCTTTGTGGTTCCTTACTTGTCAAGGTAACACCTGGTGTCACTGACACCCCTCTTAACACAAGAAACTTAAGAGTGATCATAGCCTAGAAACACCCCTTTCCAGCTGCCTTCTCAGCCTTAAAGAGCACTGCTGGCTGCTAACCAAAAGGTCACCAGTTCAAATCTGCAAGAAGAGGCAGCCTGCTCTAGTTTAAGATTTACAGTCTCATAAACCCTGTGGAGGGTCGCCATGAGTCAAACTGACTTGATGGTAGTAGGTTTGGGGGAGTTCTTTTTTGTTTGCTTTATAATCTCAACTTACCAGGCCCTTTTTTGAAGGAGTATACGTGCCTTTTCCTAACTATGTTTTGACCTTTGACTCCTACAACTTTATGGGGCCCTGGGAGAAGTAAGGGGCATGGAGTCAGTCATGCTGAGCCGCCTCCAGATGATCTTGGCTGCAGGCCAGAGCCTGTATCTGTGCCCTTACCCCTGGTCTCTCCTGCTGTGTGGGCCGGCCAGTCCTTTCGGCACAGTGATAGCAGTCTGCCAACACGCATGCCTGTATGGTTCCTTCCAGGAGAAGTTTCTCCACACTTAGCATGGGAGATTAATTGCTGTATGAAAAAAAGCTTCAAGTCATACTGCCTGACTGGTGTTGGGAGTTCTAGTGTCCAGTGACAATGCCTACTTTCTTGCTGGATTCACCTCAAGTGTTTGGGGCTTGTATCTGCATCTTTTTATTATTTCCAGTTAGACTTTTGCCCTACAGCCAAAAGGCAGACACTTCCTGCCTAAGCCCAGCACTGTACCAAGCCTCAGAAATTTGATGGAAGGGTCTACCTAAGAGGTTAAGTCAAAACTAAACTAACTGCTGTGGGGTTGATAAGACCTCAGGCAAGCCTTAAGTCTCTCATCTCCAAAACAGGGAGATGGATGATAAAGAAGTATTCCTAAAGTTCCTTCCATCTGGGATTGCTCTGTAGAATTCCAGGAATTTAAAACTTAATTGCACTCCTGTAAAAGGAGGTGAATAAACCTTGATTTATAGAACACCAAATTTGTCTTGGTGAGGATGCTTTGTTATGGCTAAAATTTTTAAGGTTAAAAATAATCCCTCCACATGGTCAACTCTGCTTTGGGTCAGTGCTTTAAATTCATTCCCTTGAGTTGCAGCCTCCTCAGCATCCCTTAAATCTTCCTGTATGGAGAGAACAGACTTGTAGGAGGACAACTGCTAGCCCTTGGGGAATATTCAGTCTCTGGAAAAACTGGAATTCTGTTTCTCTTGTCCTAGAGCAAGTTCAGACATCAAGATCATATTGTTTTATCTCCTTGAGTATTTCCAGTCCCTCCATTCTAGCACTACTACCTCTCTGCACCACCATCCTCAACACTACTCATCTCCAGCCTGTTCTACAAAAGGCTCTTGTCTTTGAGTCCCTGTCCTACCCACCAGTTCACCACCCTGCTTCCAAATTGAGTCTCTTCTGCTTGAGATCCTTGCAATGTCTCCCCATCCCACTTGCACCAAAGACCCAAGTCTTCATGGCCCATAAAACCTGCAAGGCCTGGCCCACCCTTTAACTTCAGGTACCACCATATGTGCTCGTTTCATCACCCTGAAAAGAAAAGCCAGAGCTGACTAGTATATCACTTTAATTGAAGAAATGGGCAGAGACATTGTCCACAGTAGTGGCAAAAAGACTGGCGTAGTCCTTAGCAAATTATGCTACTAATCCAAAGGTTATGCATTTCAGGCAGTTCAAATCCACCAACTGCAACTCAGAAGGATGGAGAGTCACCTCCCATTGTGATTTACAGCCTTGGAAACCTGGTGGAGGGTTTTGAGTCTGAACCAATTTGATGGCAGTAAATAAAAAATACCAAGTTGTACTTTTTTGGGAAATGACGCTCTGCAAAACAGCAGAAACCTTATTCATGCCTCCTTATCGTTGTCTCAATTGTTAATTTTCCCTTTCCAAATACACATTATCTCAGAACGTTGTAACTTGATGTTGAAATGACGGTGGGCTAAGGGCAGCACTGAATGAAGCCAGTGTTGGAGTTAACAGACATTAAAAGCAAGGAAGAAACTTGTTCTCTTTCCAAAAAGTTACTGTTGCTCACTTTATGGCTGACTCCCAGCTGTGTGCCAAATTCAGAGTAACTTGGATATACCAACTACTCCCAATTATAAAACCGAAGCAGCATACTATTTACCATCTAGTAACCCTAAGTATGCTGATTTGGAAGACAAAGTGAAAGTGAAAAGTTTAAAAAGTAGCTCCAAAGACTAGTGATGGAAGAAAAGTAATGATTTCATGAGTTTCTACCATTCACACCCACCCCAGGGCAAATAGTTGCTTTAACTCATCGCTGACCTTTAGTTGAGTTTCTGAGGCTATAAATGGCATAGTCTGATCTGCAGCAAGCATTTCAAGTTCTCACTTGAAGCACGCAAGGTTGTGTCTTCTGCATAATGCAGGTTTTTGAGTCTTACTCCGATTATGATGCCATAGTCTTCATGTAGTCCAACTTCTTAAATGATTTGCTCAGCATGTAGCTTGATCAGAAAGGTTATTTAGTACTTTCAAATTAGAACTGGTCCATAGCTGACCCTCAGGTAGGTTTTCAGAGGCAGTTAATTGCACAGGAGATTGTCCGTCCTCCCATGGAGCTGCTGGTGGATTTGAACCGTGTGCCTTCAGGATTGCAGTGCAGCTTCTTACCACTAGGCCAGCAGAGCTCTGACACCTACCTTTCCTGATTTTAAACAATGCAGAATTCTCACTGTGTTCAGACAACTGCTTCTTAGTCTAGACACAGGTTTCACATGAGCACAACTAAGTATTTCTCATTTATCACATGATTTCTCATTTATCTCATTTGTCATGATCCAAACAGTCAAATGAATTCTCGTAAATAAAGCACAAAATATCTTTCTGGTAATTACTTTCACCAAGATCCATTCAACTCCAGCAATACCCCTCATTCCACAGCCTCTTCTGAATCTGGCCTGAATTTCTGGCAGTTAGCAGCCAAACAATAATAGATTGGCCAATGAGGTGATTAGTAACATGAAGGAAAGCACATCTTAGGAAAATAAACCATACAATAAGGACAGCATTTGTCCAGGGATAATCCCCAGGCGGAGTCCAAAAAAGTCAGTGATAGCTGTTGAGTCAGAACTGACTTGAATGGACGCTCCAATGGTTTTTCAGAGGCTTAAGTCCCATGGGAGGAGACTGCCTGTCTTTCTCCTTTGCCAAGGCTGGTGGTTTAGAACCGAGGCAGAGAGAAAAGGAAAGAAAAATGGTAAAACAAGATGGACTTGCGAAGAGTGCTGGTACACTGTAGAGGTTGTAATCAGGTCAGGAAATGCGTCTGAATTGTTTAATCGAAAATCAATTTGTAACTTTTCACTAAAATCAGTAAAACAATGAAAGACAAGACCTGATAGAGTAGTGCTGCTCACGTTCTTGTTTTACCCCATTTGTAGAAGTGAAGAAGTGGGGGAATATTTGGTGATCAAGTTTGTTTGAGGAACAGGTTCTGTGCTTCATTAATTTTCAGATGCTTTCTTAAAAAAAGTTTTTTAAGGCGAGCTCTGGTGGCCTAGTGGCAAGAAGCTGCACTGAAATCCCAGAGGTTCAAATCTACCAGATGCTGTGCTGGAGATGAAGGGGCAATCTCCTCCTGTACCAGTCAGATCCAATTTGACAGTACACACACAAAAATTTTTTTTAAAAAGTTTTTAAAAAAAGGTTTTTGAATTCTGAGGTAAAATACTTAATTTGTTGTTGTTGTTATATGCCATCGAGTCATTTCCAACTCATAGCAACCCTATGCACAACAGTTCTAAACCCTGCTCTATCCTGCGCCAACCGCACCGCCTCTGACACACCCATCCCGATTACCCCAGTCACCGAATCAATCCATCTCATAGAGGGTTCTT